GTTCTACAGTAGGAGATGAATTCTTCAGGCACAAAAATGCTCAAAAGCGTGTGTATTGCATGTTTATAGGAGTTTCCATTCAAATCTATGGAGCTAAAATGCCTGTCAAACAACAAAAAAGAGGAATTCCCAGCTCAAAATTGCCAGCCAGCCTGCAAACAAACGAAATTAACCTGTCTAACAGTATGCATTAAAAACAGGGGTTTAGTTAGCACACATTTGCAAGCACATGCGGAAGCTACAGAGCCTCGTCACGAGACCCCAGTATACTGTAGTTCCTAACTGTTCAATTTTAAGAGCCCCCATAGTAGAGGCACATGTATTTAATGGATAGACCAAGGGCAGATGGACCTGAGGGAGCCCACTTCTCCTTAAAGGTACAGGAGCACACTGGAGAGACTGGAGTTAAAACACCTGCCTACTGATGAGGTTATGGGTGTATTGCACCGAAAATGGATGGGACTACTTCTGCCCTTATCTTTGTGGTGGTGTAGTTTCTTATACTGGCAAGTTTCCCCCTCTTTGCTTTACTTACTTCTTTGGAAAATGTTTTGGCCTTTTTTTGTTTTTTGTGGATGCTATGTCTACCGCTTGTGTGCAAATGATGGAGGGTACAAGTTGTTGTATTGCCTAGATGATGTTCTTTTATGTTATCTTTTTTGTTGGACTTCATCACTACAATACCATTGCCCTCTGTTTGTTATCCGTATCCCAGAATTCTGAAACAAGAAAAAAAAAACTGCTGACTACATTTGAAAAATAGCTACTGTAGTTTTTCAACTGTTGTGCATATGGTGAACATGGACATATAGAAATAACAGGATTCTGCAAGGTCACATATTGGGAACAAGCAGAAAAATGTTCAAGTGTGAATGGGGGCTTAGTGTGCACCAGATCCTACGATTTGCATCTGCCTGTGTGTGTCCAGCTGACCAGATTTTGGACAAGTCTCTGTTTAGTTTTGGCTGGTGGTAAAAGATTGTGAGAGTATGTTTGCACTAACTCTATAAGTAGTATTGCCTGGTTTATCTAACCTGTGACTTCTAGTGAGAGCAGTGTGTGTGGTTTGAGAAAGTCTCTGTCACAATCTGCTTGAGAGCAAAGCTTACTGACTAGAAGTGTCAGGAGCAAAGTTCCACACAAGTCTGCAAGTTGTGAGTGGTGATATTATTATTATACAGGATTTATATAGCACCAACAGTTTGCGCAGTGCTTTACAATATAAGGGAGACAGTACAATTACAATACATTTCAGTACAGAAGGAATATTAGGGCCCTGCTCGTGCAGCTTACAATCTAAAGGAGGGGGAGGTGATACATAAGGTGATAGCTGCGGGGGATGATCTGGTGGAGGTGATTCAAGTACAGTTCTTAGGTGGAGGTGGATTAGGCTTCCCTGATTAATTGAGTTTTCAAAGATCGCCTAAAGGCAGCCAGTGTGAGGGCTGACCAGACATACCGTGGTAGGGAATTCCAGAGGATGGGAGAGGCTCTATAGAAGACCTGTAGGCGAGCGTGGGAGGAGGTGACGAGGGGGCTAGAGAGGAAGATGTCTTGGGAGGAACGGAGCTGGCAAATTGGGTAATATCTGCAAATGAGGTTGGTGATGTAGCTAGGGGCACTGTTGTGGATGGCTTTGTAAGCTGTGGTCAGTATTTTTAATTTTATACGCTGGGTTAATGGAAGCCAATGAAGGGATTGGCAGAGAGGGGCAGCAGTCACTGATCAGCTGGAAAGGGTGTTTGAGTCTAGCAGCAGCATTCATAATAGACTGAAGGGGGGATAACCTGTGTAACGGTAGATCAGTGAAGAGTTGCAGTAATCGAGGCGGGATAAAACCAAGGCATGGATAAGTTGTTTTTTGGTGTCATTGGCCAGTAAGGGGCAGATCTGGGAAATGTTGCGGAGGTTGAGGTGGCAGAATTTAGCCAGTGAATGGATGTGGGGCCCAGAGGAGAGGTCAGAGTCTAGGAGTATGCCTAGCACCCTGGCATGAGGGGAAGGGCCAATGGTTGTGCTCTTGATCTTAAAGTCATGAGTGGGGGATTGGGGAGGAGAAAATATTACAAGCTCGGTTTTGGAAAGATTGAGTTTAAGGTAGTGATGTGACATTCATGCTGATACGTCGCTTAGTAGATTGTGATACTTGAGAATATTGAGGGGGTGAGCTGGGGAGTGGAAAGATAGATCTGGGTGTCATCAGCATAGATGTGGTATTGGAAGCCATGGGAGGTTATCAATTGGCCCAGGGAGGAGGTAGAGAGAGAGAAAAGGAGGGCCCAAGGACAGAGCCTTGGGGTACCCCAACTGAAAGAGGGAGAGGAGAGGAGGAGGAGTTGTTGTATGTGATGCTGAAAGTGTGCTGAGAAAGGTAAGAAGAGAACCAGGAGAGAGCAGAGTCATGGAGGCCAATGGAGTGGAGTTTACTGAGGAGGAGCTGGTGGTTGACTGTGTCAAAGGCAGCGGACAGGTCTAGGAGTATGAGTATGGAGTAATGGCCATTGGTTTTAGCAGTTAGTAGGTTTTTAGTTAGTTTTAGCAGGGCAGTTTCAGTGGAATGTTGTGGGTGGAAGCCAGACTGTAGGGAGTCAAGATGGATGTGGTCTTTGAGGTAGCAGTTCATACGGTTGCGAACAAGGCTCTTGAGAAGCTTGGAGGCAAACGGGAGCAGGGAGATGGGTCTTAAGTTATTCAAACAGGTGGGGTCCAGGAAGGGTTTTTTAAGTATGGGGTAACCAGTGCATGTTTGAGTGGGGAGGGAAAGGTGCCCATGGAGAGTGAGAGGTTAAAGATGTGGGTTAGAGAGTTTAGGATAGAGCAGGAAGAAGGCTGCAAAAATCATGAGGGGGACAGGGTCCAGGGGACAGGTGGGGAAGTGAGCCTTGGAAAGGAGTTCGGTAACTTCCTCGGTGGTAACAGGGTCGAAGGAGGACAGAGTTGAGTGTGGTGTTGGGCCTGGTATGTTGGTTGAAGGAGGGAGCTTAACACTGGAGATCTCATCACGAATTGTGTCAATCTTGTTCTTGAAATGACTGGCAATCTCCTGTGCAATAAGTAAGTTGGTGTTTGGAGGTAGTGAGGGATCTTTCAGGGCATCTCTTGCCAGGGTTGTGATGGGTGAGGCCTGGTTCTGCATGTAGTGAGGGGAGCAAGTGCGTCCAGGGAGGATAGATAGTTGTAGGCAGATGTGGCCAGGTCTGGGCAGGACAGGGGTGCAATTTTATCATAAAGGCACTCAGACGAATACAGTGCACTTCAGAATGACTAGGGTGTGCATGTTGTTTACAGTCACTACCTGTGTCTGGATTGGGAAACTGTTGGGTCATTTACCAGCTGGATAGTTTACCAGCATGCTGGTTGATTTCTGAGGACATACAACAGTCATATTTTGTGTATTACCTCCCTCAATCCATGACAATTGCCTTTGCAGATTTGCATCACAATGGACTTGGGTAGAAGGTGATGTCAAATGAAATTAGCAAGATGCTTTTATGTAATTCTTTGAAAGTATGTACTGAATACCAATGAGCTATATGTGAACATATTATGCAGTGTATTAAAAAAATGCAGTAGGATCAATTATAATATTATCTCTTGTTCTTTTTGGAAAATCTTGGAAATTCTAAGCCATTCTGGTCTATATGTTTGGAATAGCTATTTTTACTTAGATAACTGAAAATTTGCTCAGGAGCAACCGTTCCGTGCCATTTTTGAGTAGTTCTTAAAGGACCCAGAAATTTCACTGTGAACAGTATTATCCAACAGTTACAAGAAATGTTATATTCTGTTCCCTGGTTGTTGATTTGTTGTTGTTTTCTGAGAACTGCTTGCTGAACTATGAGCAATTACCAGCAGTAACAAATCACAAAATCATATCAATAAATTGGAATACAGTAAACTGACACCTATCGCCATTGGGTTGCTACATTGTCTATATCTTCACTTTTCATTGCACTGGGATATTAAGCATGCATCCCGTTGTGGTGAATTATGGATTGCAGTCTTATTAGGGGTCTTTTGTTAAAATTAGTGGTGGTGGTATTTTATACCACATTTTACAATATTGGGTCACATTTCTTTATACCTTCCTTTTATATTTTATTAAGTAATTAAAGGGTTTGTTCACCTTTACAGAAAAGCACACTACTCTGTCCCATATGGAAATAACAACATAGTATGCTAAACCTACCTACCAGCCAGGGCTCCCTATCACTTCAAAGAATGTAAGCTAAAACTGCATTTAAAAGAAGTCTTATAACCCTCCACAGTCTCTGATGGCTTTAACCCAAATTATTTTTAGGGATGAAGAAACCATTTGAACCAGCAAAAGGGAGCTGTGGCTGGAAGGTTGATTTAACAAACGATGCTGCTATGCAAATATAGGAAAACATAGTGTGATCTTTGGTAAAAGTTAACTAAACCTTTAAAGCTGAACTAGAGGCAGATATAAATGACACACATTAATGCAGCTCACTATTCAATAATATATCATTAAATGTGCTGATAGTAGGAGAGAGTAGAGTGACAGAGAGATGAGTTCATCAGTCTTCTGCATTTTCTTTCATGGTCCAGTCACAGGTTGGGAGTCAGGTAGGAGACCTGTAAGTATTACCTAAAGAGGTTCCAAAGCCTTAAGGAAGCCACTCACAGAAACTGGCCCAGTGTAAGCAGTCTCCATCTCCCTCAGACACGTGGTCGGTCATCATCATGTTGGAGCAGTTGTGGACGCCGCTAGCACATCCAGGCATGGAGTCCTCTGGGCCATCGGTTCCTGAACCTTCGGTTTCCGCGACTGATGACGGTACTGCTACAATCCTTGCGGCTATCAAGCAGAGTAAAACCTCCTTATTGGTGCGTATTGACCGCCTAGCGGAGGAATACAATGTTATCTGGGGGTGACCTGGGATGGTGAGGGTATGGTGCTTGGGTGGGGTTCCTTTTGGGGGGGGTTCTCGCACGGGGAGTTGTGCTTTGGGGGAGGCCTTTTTTGTGGGGGGTGTTGTATGGGGGGGGGGGTTGGGGAGGGGGTGGATGCATGCACTGTACTTATCCATTGTATACGTCCAATAAATTATTCTGGTTATTAGCCATTGAGGTGGTTCATCATTTGTGCGTAGGGTTTTTTGTAATTATTTCTTTTTGGATGCGCCTCCCCTTTTATACGTTGTATGGAGGTTCGGCATGAGCAGATGTACCACTCCCAGGATGGACTCTAGAGCCATTGGGGGTTTTTGCCCTTATTGGTATACCCTTACTCTTATGAAATTCTTTACTTTTCCTGGTCCAAGGAACCAGGCTGGCAAAGGGATTAAGTATCTCAACCAAATCTGTGACCATGGAGCCCTGGCAACCTTTGACTCCCTGAAACCACAATTTTTCTTGACTAACAGTTATCTATCTTCAGTTAAGACACACCTTCCAGTCACAATTTCATAATTGTCAGATTGTTTTTGAGGAGTCAGTTTTGGAGAGCCTGTCGAGGGAAGACTCCCTTACAAAACCCCTGTCTAATGTGTACAAAGCTCTTCAGCGAACTATTCAGGTAGAGGCTGTTGGCTAGTTGGACTGTAGATGCTCCAGACATGGATTCTGAGGACTGGGAGGATATCTGGGAGTTTCCTATGCAACAATTAGTATCTGCAAGAGATAGGTTGATTCAATTCAAGATACTACATAGAATCTATATTACTCCGCAGACGTTGCATAGGATCTACCCTACCCTCCCAGCCCCGTGCTAGTGTAGCTCAGAAGACCTGGCAAGCTTCATACATGTCTTTTGGCAATGTCCAAGGCTCCAGTCCTTTTGGAATGATGTAGCTGAGTGTATTGTTAAATGTACTCGGATATCTGTACCACTGACGGTTGACATATGCATTTTGAGTCTTGTCCATTTATTAGCCATGCCCAGAATGATGAGAACATTGATAGGCTTATTATTAGTCTATGCCTGCAAAGCCATATTTCTCAAGTGGAAGGCTTCAAGAGCACCCACACTTGACTTCTGGAAAAATTTAGTCAATTCCAGCATCCCATTGTACAAATAGACCTATGAGTCTAGGGGCTGTCCTAATAAGTTCTCTAAAATTTTTAATATTTGGGTTCATTCCTCTTCAACAACCCCATCAAGTGACAGCACTGTGTGATCTATATTCTGTCTAGTATATTTTGTTCTTTTTCCTATTTGTATTCAATGTGATAATTTTTCTGGTGACATAAACCTGCTACATACATATATGTTTCTGCCATAACAAATGTTGGTGAGCCACTTTGTGACCATTACTGTTTTGGTTGCCATGTTCTTAAATTGTGAGGTTGTACTTTATTTGTTCTTTTTTATGTTGTTTATATGTAAATTCAGCTTGGGTATGCCCAATAGGCTTTGTTTTATACTTTTCTTTCGCCAAAGTTAATAAAGAGAATTTTCAGAAAGAAAAAAAGCCTTAAAGAAAGACCTTCTGTGCTGCAGCTCCCCCCCCCCCCAGCCCCTCCTTCTTCTTACCTTAGCTCAATCTGATCCAGCAATGTGCATGAGAGCAGAGGCTCTAGCCGTTGTCTCCCTCCTAATTGGGCAGATTGATAGCAGTGGGAGCCATTGACTCATGCTGCTGCCAATCAAATGCTGTGACACGGGAGCATATGGGGCGGGTGGGGCGGGGCCAAGCCAAGCCGCCCACTCTGAGTGAATGGACGCAGATAGGGAGCCTCGGGAGTGAGCCCACATGGGTGCCCCATGGGTGCCCCCATGGAAAGAGGCTTTTTGTGGGGGCACCCGCCAAAGAGGAGAGCCATGTATATAATTAATCTGTTACCTTTAGCCAGTTAACCACTGTTACCATGATGAAAAAAAAACAAAGATCCTTATTAAAATCATATATGGATGTCTTATATTGTAACATTTCATTATAAAGAAGAGCTTCCATCCCTGTTATTAATTTTGTCACCCACCTTTATACTTTTTCAAATCTTCTGTCACTGTAAGCTGGCCAAAACTGTAGTCCATATTTAAAATGCAGCCTTATAAGTGATTCACATAGATGTAATACTATAACAGCATCAAGTTATTTTATTCTTCCTTTATCATTTTCAAGATTTTGTAGTTGATGTTTGACATTAAATTAAGTTGAGCCAGCATTACTAAGATCTTGTCCAGGTCTGTTTTCCAGAACTATATTTTATTTAACTTATATGGCAGGGTTCTCCAGACTATTACTCGTGGTCCACATCTGGCCCACTACAAGATTTTATCCATTCCCCAGCTATAGTCAGTGGCCTATCCTCAATGTGCACTGATTGAGATTCAAGGTCAGCGTAGGGTGCCTATGGTCATCGCTTGTGATGTAAGAAGGGACTCTGATGGGGATCCTGATGTCAGGAAGGACTCTGAAGGGGAACCTTACGTAAGGAGGGACCTAGAAGTGAGCCCTGATGTAAGGGGGGACTCTGATGGGGATCCTGATGTTAGGGAGGACTCTGATTGGGAACCTTATGTAAAGGGGGGGCCTAGAAGTGGGCCCTGATGTAAGGCGGGACTTGGATGTGTATCCTGATGGAAGGTGGGTTCTGATGGGGAACCTAATGCAAGGAGGAATCTGATGGGGACACCTGATGCAAGGGGAGGAATCTGATGGGGAACCTGATGTAAGGAGTACCCTGAAGTGGACCCTGATCTAAGGGGGACTCTGATGGAGACCCTGATGTAAAGAGGGACTCTGATAGGGAACTCAATGTAAGGGGGAGCTCTGATGGAGACTCTAATAGGGGTCCTGATGTAAGAGGGAATCTCTTGGGAATTTATGTTGGCCCTCACATATTTGAAAAATATACAATTTGGCCCTTGCAATGAAAGGTTTGGAGACCCTTGTTTATGGGGGATCCCAGCTTGATGTAAGTTAAAAACCTTATCTTTATCATTATACTTTTCTTTTTTGTCATTTACCTTCTTAGAGTAAAGTTTACTAAAGCTCAAAAACAGATGTACAACTGACTCATTACTCTCTATGCACATTTTAACTACTCCTACTACTATTAGGCTTAAAACACTGTATGATACTGCTTCATAACAATACTTGTGAAACACTACTCCTTATCTGGTAAATTCGGAAAATGTTTCTGTAGACAACCGCCTTTGCCTTCTGCCTTTAACCACTTCTTTACCCATGAAAATACATGCTTCCTAAGGCCACACATTTACTTATCATGAGAAACAGCCAATTACACGCACACTCCTTTCTTTACTGTTGTATAAATCAGTCTTTCATGGGAAAATGAACTCATTAAAAGTCAACAGAAAATGATGCACTCATATTCTTATGCATGTTACTCACTTCATGTAGGATACAACCCTTATTTGCTTAGAAAAAAAAAATCTTAGATTTTTGGTTTTATTTCCACTCCAAAAATTATGTGAAAATATTCCCTATAGTGATGATTTTGCAACATAGGAATCTAAGTGCTATCTCTAGTACAACGTTTTTCTTTTCAGAAAAGTTACTTTGTTTGTCTAGGGTGACCTTTATATTCCCCTCATTCTTACTGACTTTTGAATTAGTACCTTTTGTCTCTGATTGATCTGTATCCTATGATCCTATTATTTCTACTCTCTGTACCTTTTGTCTCTGATTGATCTGTATCCTATGATTCTATTATTTCTACTCTCTGTACGTTTTGTCTCTGATTGATCTGTATCCTATGATATATTATTTCTACTCTCTGTCCTTGCTATACAGGTCCCCTCCTTAATCCTCTATTTTTCACTTTTCTCTCTTTCTTATTTTCATGTTATGTCACCCATTACCAAACATTTAACTACATAGTGCTCTCCCCAGAAAGTAAATTAATAGTACAATGTGCTTCCAACATGTTTCAAAGATTTGTTTCCACTAACACTTCCCAGCTCTTTATCCACCAATAAAGCCACACTGGTGAAACATGTTGGGAGCACTTTGAACTGTAAATGTATTTTCTGTAGTGATCACTATGCACTTATATTTTTGGTGATGGGTAATGCAACTTGAGGATAGGAGTGAGAGGAAAGTGTTAGGACTTACAGTATATAGCAAGGACAGAGAGTAGATAATAATGTGATATAACAAAAAGCATATTAATCTAATCAAAATGCCTTATTCTAATCCTATGCAATTTTATTACCTCTTAATATACTGTATTTCCTATTTGATCTGTCATAATAACCTCAAATAATGTATATGAAACACCCTACACATCATAAGAAACTGGTTTGAATAGTTTAAAAAATAAGACATAATGACCTATCCACTATGTAGCTAAAACAATGTTTTGCCTTTAATGTTTACAACAAAAATGAGTACAGATATAGCACAAAATACAGGTTCAGCAATCAATATATCAATTTATTGTTTAACATAAAACATAAGCATATGCATGTGGTTACTGTGCATAACAAATCAATTACATCAGAGCAGAACCAAAAAGTACATCTTAAAAAAATCTGTTCTGCATTTGCATCACCACTACCCATATGAAATTTCTATCATTTTTTTCACACAAATAGAGCATTCTTTTGGTGGTATTTAATCATCACTGGGTTTTTATTTTTTGCACTATAAACAAAAAAAGAGCAAAAATGTGTTTGTTTCTATTATAAAATTTTGCAAACAGGTAATTTTTCTTCTTCACTGATGTGTGTGATGAGGCTGCACTGATAAGCAGCACTGATGGTCACTGATAGGCAGTACTGATGGGCACTGATGAGGCGGCACTGATATGCCGCACTGATGAGGCAGCGCTGACGAGGCAGCACTGGTGGGCATTGATGAGGAGGTACTGATGATGCTACACTGATATACAGCACTGATGGGCAGTGATAGGTGGCAATGATGGGGATTGATAGGCAGCACTGATGGGCACTAATAGGCAACACTGAAGGGTACTTACTGGTGGCACTAACTGGCAGCACTGATTGATGGCACTAACTTGCAGCACTGACTGGTGGCACTAACTGGCAGCACTGACTGGCAGCACTGATGGATGGCACTGACTGGTGGCACTGATAGGCAGCACTGACTGGTGGCACGGACAGGCACAGATTGGCAGCACTG